GAAAATTCGAGAACCCTTGTCTACTAGCTCACGAAGTCATGGCTCCTCATTATATTGATATAATAAATCTGTATTTTTTATACACACATATATTTCTCTGCAGTAAATAAATTAAGAAAACAATAACTGAATTAGTCTCAGATATAAGTTTTTTTTACTTACCTATTTCGTTTCATCTTTCGGAAAATGATGATAAACAGCCGTACACAGCACAATTCACGACCATTATAAATAGTAACGTAAAATGATGGTGCGTGCGGTGTGGTGCGGTATCTAAAGCCATGGAGGGGCGGAGAGTGCCCGTTCTCTTTACTATTTGTTCTCTGTTTTTGCACTGAAATAACTAATAAAAAGGAAAATTTATCGTTTTCTCTACGTGTTTTTGTATAAAAATAATCTCTAGCACTTTTTGTCACCAAGATGCAGCAAAGAAAAAATTGCGCGCCCATCTCGTGTTTTCAGACTATACAACTGTCAATTTTTTTTCTCTCTCTCTCAAATTTGGTACATCGAAGCGACATCTCTTTATAACCGTTAAAACTAATTTGTTTGTCTGTTTCATCGACTGAGAGACTATAGTGCCAAACGCTATACTTTAGGTATTATGGATTTTAGTTTCTCCTCCCCCGGTGTTCCTCTTACCCCATCTGACCTTATATTTGGTGGTTATTTAGATAATATATATAAACATAAATTTTATCATGAATTATTCCGTAAATAAAACGAGTTCATCGTTGATTTTCATCCATATGTGGGTACATATAACAGTTTTACTGTTGTGAAAGATAACTGAAGTGAAAGGCGAAGAAACAACCATGTGACATGTGATCAGGGAAAATACGTAATAAAAGAAGTATCTACCTATTTGAATAAGCTTTTGTGCAAAATTGCATGCATGTGGCTCCGAGTTGAAAGCGTTGCGTTTAAAATGCACGCTTTAATAATTTCACCTAGACGCGAGTGGCTTCTATGTGTTAATAGAACCGTTAAAGTGGGACGCCATCATTGCAAACTCGGGCCCCTTTCAGCGGCCACCACTCGATTCCCGCCACTCCCGCACTTTCTGACTAACTCCCCATTTTCAGCCAATACTTATTTGCGAAAAAGTCCTGCAAATTTGAAAGGAATTGAATAAGCTCTGTATTACCTTCTGTTTATTTTAAGCTTATTAAAATAGCAAGGTTTCGCAAACGTTCCATGTTTTTGGAAATTTTGTATTGAGATGAGTAATTAATTATATTGGCACGGTTGGAAAAATCGCAATCGCATTGCTTTTATCATTATAACTAAATTAACATATTATATATTACAACTACAACTATTACATATTAACTTCCAATAGTGCATAATAATGACGTGTAATGCTCATGAGACTACCTCTATAAAACGCTTTACTCAAAGAATACAATTTCCTTATTGACCTCTACCGAGGTCACCAATCACATAAAGAGGGGATTAAATAGGAAAATCGATACGAACTGGCAACGCGGGAAGCACGGAAAAAGCCGTTATTTATATATTGCGACACTGTTGCACTGAACCACCTGCAAGTAATTGCCGACTCTAATTTATAACCCTTGTAACCCTTTATTCACACAGCCCCAGGGATCTGCGGGTCTTCCCTTTACAAAGTAACTTAGTTTCGTCGGAAAAGGGAAACCTTTAGTAACAGCGTTATTGTACATGAGTAGTTGCAAAATTTACTACATTATTGACTCTTTATTCCATAGAAATTGACAATGTATACTGCTAATCAATAGGTATGATTGTCTGCACATTAGAAAATATTATATAATACTCGTACCCATGTAATGAGTCGACAAAAAGCTATGGACTGTTTAATCGATAATTGTTAGATATTATTGTTATGCAAAATAAAAAATATACTATTATGTAGCTTAAAGGAGTACTCATCAAGGTATATCAAAACAAAAACAATTTGGCAAAAGTATTTTCCTCAAGCGTTAAATTGTGTTTTCCTTCATAAATTATCTTCTGGGTGGTGATGCCACAAAATCCATCTCATAAACAAGGTCTATTTTTATTCATTTCAATGGAGATTTTTTGTCAAATTTAATTTTAATTTAATTTAATGGGTTGCGAAGAGTGTGCAAATATGGTTTGCCCGACTTAACGTAAGATATGCAAATATTTATCATCTTATTAAAAAGTAAAAACTCTAGAAAGTTAAATTTCTGATAAACGGACTTAAAAGTGAGTGTTATTTATTTAGCGATGTGGATAGAGCTACTTTACTGAACCTTCCTAGCCATTACATTAAATAAAAAAATGACTGAATTCAATATGCACTTTTATAAAAATCATTTTAAAAAGCATTTTTAGTTCATTATCATAAATTGTTACTTTGTACCCATTATTTATGCAAGAAGAAACTAAGGAAATTAAAGAGGCAGATTGTACCTGATATATAGTGATACCATTTGAATTGTATGTTTTAAAAATCATACATCCAACATTGTTCTGAATGTTGAGTTTCTAGTATGGAGTGCACGAACGGAGCCTTCCCGCTCGACGAATCATTCGAGAGCGACATAAAGCGTGAGATACTGCTGTAGGGCTAGCACGATAGGGCGCGACTTGCGCGAGAGCGACATAGTAGCGCGAGATATTGCTATTATCTATGGGTGTCGCGCAAGTCGCGCCCAATCGTGCTAGCTTTACTGTTCTCGTATAGAGATCCCGCGCTTTATGTCGTTCCCGCGCAAGTTGCGCCCTGTCGGCTGCTAGGCCTACTAGCAACAATCGGCGAGTACCTTATGCCAATTGACAAATCCTTGTACCACAATGGTAAGCATTACCTCTATGGTACTGTCATAATGAACTATTAAAAAATGTAATTAATAGACTTCTGTAGGGTTGGCACGACAGGGCGCTACTTCCACGAGAGCGACTCTGTCGCTCCCGCGATAGTCGTGCCCTGTCGTGCTAGCCCTACTGGAAGATGCTTAGAGTTGAGCCACTTTATGAAGTTGACAAATTAATCATACTATTTACGGTGGATTGGAAACTTCCAGAAAGGTAAGTTTAGTGAAATTACAATTGCAAATGCACCTAGATATTTGCCTAGTCTGACTAATATTTTGTCATTTATCGTGTTGGGGTTGATCTTACTCAGTGTACTTTTGTATTTGTATGATTTGCTTAAACTTTGTACATTAGTTCTTCTATGGCATGGTTAATAGATTTTTAAAACTACTGAAACGGTGTATGTGTATTGTGTTATTCTGTATTTAGTATATAATCTACATACATTATAATAATACCTAGGGTTATATCACAAACAGTTTGCTGTAGGTACCTTAGTGGAAATAGTAGAAAAAGCTCGCACCACCTGTAAACGTACATATGTGGAAAGTTAAATGTTTTGTTTTATGGAATCTCGTTGGCGGGCGTGAAGCCGTGAAAAAATATTGTTTTGATGAGAAAGAAAGATGTTTCCGCTCGGCGGAGCGTTAATTCATCTCGTGAAAACACTAGTGAGCGCCGCCCGCTACCGTGCCGCGCCCGACACTCACCTGCCTTCCAGATAAGCACTTGCGGAAAAGTGGAACGATACGGAATTCACGAAGGCATTATTAATGCGAAAACTGTTTTGCATTTGCCCATTATGTAACACGTGCAGCTGTGACACCGAATCTTGCTCGCACCGAATCAAGACTCATTCTTTTATTTAGTTATATCTATTTCAAAAACACAGCTATACTCGTGTCATTGATACTTCGAACCCTTTTTTTTTAAATAAATAAATAAATATTAGGCATATCACATACGATTGCTCTAATCTCAAAGTAACCTTTGAAAACTAACCTTGTAAAACTTGCGTTATGGATATAGGAAACAACGATGGTACCACAAACACTCGGGTAGAGACCCGAGACAATATAGAAAAGTAAATTTTCTACACTGACCTGGCCGGGGATCAAACCTGGGCCGTCAGAGATGGCGACACCATGAAAACCGGTGTGCAAGCCACTTGACCACGGAGGCCGTAAAAAAATACACAGTTTCAAATTTAAATAAAAAGTTGTTTTGCATTGCAGTGTTTTAATAAATTTTATGCGTCCGAGGTAAGTCGCCGGAGATATTAAGATGGGAGAGCTAAATTAAATTAAAATGTCGTTTCATAAAAATGTTATGAAACTGCTTTTGGTCTCATAATTGGTTGCACCGTCTCCAACCGCTGGTGTTGAAATAAAAAGTGGCGCACAATTGTTTCTTATTTGTCTGAGTTAAAAGCCTGAAATTGCAAGAAAAGTAGAAAGCTGTAAGCTTCGCTTTGTGCCGTTATAATTCGCCCTGAGCTGTTTGTTATATATACACGTATTCGTAACTCAAAAATGGAATTAATAATTTCAAGAAATCTTTTGTTAATCAAAAGGTTTGAAAAGATTTTGTATGTTTTGTAGCACGACGTTTTCACATACAGGTACTGCTTTAAACATTATACTAAGCTTTAGAATATGGGCTGCTCCGCAGGGAATTAATAAAGGCGCGGATAAAAAAATCAAAACAGCGGCCCGCGCTTGAGTACATTTAAGGTATAATGCAGCCTTAGTATAAATTTATTAAACAATTGTATTAATGAGTGGCTCTCCTTTTTGCTTGTTTGCTGAAACAGAATTACGCCCTATTTCAAAAGTAATTATCAATGTGTCCCTTGGAATTAGACGCTTTGTATATTTTATTACATTATAAAGCAGTTAAATCGTTTAAATCTCATAGAATACGTAGCATTAGTTTTATTTGGACAACATCTTGTAAGGTAACTCTATTACAAATCAACAATAAACAAGGTAAATCTATAACAAGCAGGATGAATTTTGCGAAAATACCTTTTCACTTCTCAGACAAAATCAATTGTTTCAATGAATCAATTTTTTATCGATTTGCAAATACAACCAAACCAACTTAACTCTAAAAATACTGTGAATAAATGTGCTTCGATATTTTCGCAAAAGCATATGAATGTTTAAACTTACCTTCTTCATGAAGGACATAACATTAGTAGGCAACATGGTGGCTTTTATTGTCTGCTATTCACACACTCACATGATCACTATACATCACTGAATCACATAAGAAGTCGACACAATACGTCTACCGCTTCAGTCAGGGATCAGAACCGTACCTCCAAAACTCGACATTTTGCACAAATTTACCCCACGACTTCTTTTAGGTCCTAGTAGTTCATCTGTAACAAAGAAGAGATATATTTTAATATAAACTAATGAAACACTAAATTGCTAGTTTGAAGAACCCGCGGTAATTGATTCATACAGTCAGCGTAGGTGTGGAAAATAAATAGGGGATGTATGGTAGAGCTTGATAGAGCAGCGTTCGAAGCCCCGACCGCTCTGTCGGAAAAGCTGAGTGGAAATGAACAGAGCTATAAGCATTCAACAGGTTACTACTTTGTTCAGCTTATCGTCTTCTTTTTTATACAATACATGGCTTGCGAACAGGAGACCATAAATAAGTTAAATAATGCCTTCGATTACAAAGGAGAGTAAACAAGTACGGCAGAGAGTTAGGTATTCTAAATTTACATGAAGTTACTAGATACCTAGATTTTTTTATTATTATTTTATATATTGGAACAGTTTTCATGACAAGGGTAAATAAGAAATTACCTTAACAATAACCTATCTCATCTAACACGATTATTAGTGATTTTTTTTTCTTTCACTTGCTTGCTCAATTAAAGTTACAGTTGGAGTTACTTATTTAAAATCCGTCCTTGCATAATTCCAAACACTTATCTCTTACTTTACTACTTACTAGATTATCTAGAAGTAAGTACACTAGATGGTCATGAATTCTTAAATGGTAGATAATATATTATACGCTCAAAGCCGCAAACCTTTGTGCTAAAGGATATGAAACTTACTGGCTTTGTAGAGATGCTCGTAGGCATAAATACAAAGGAACGGTAAGAAATATTTTAATACGATATGAGAAGATATAGTTAGCGGTAATTTTAGGTGCTTTTAGTACATTTTGACTGGGTATGTAACTTATAACGTTGAAAATAAACAGATAAATGAATTTGAAAAGTGACTTCTTAAATAGTTGACTACAAACATATGCTACGTATAGAGTATTATAGCTTTCCTTACGTAAATGTGGTGGAATACCAATAGAACTAGATTACTCCTCACGACATTTGGTTTAGGAAGTAAAATATGAAAATAAGTCATTGAAATTGAGTCAGCTCTCTGTATTCGCGAGGCGAGAAATTGCATCCGCAGACGAAATCGATACCCTGTATCTAGATGGATACTGTCGCATACAAGGCGAAGAGTTATTCGGCTTCATTCGATTTCGTCATGTATAAAGTTAGTTAAAAACTTTATAATATTTTATAGGTATAAATTGAGGTACGTACCTACCTACATAAATATTTTAAACATGCAGAACAAGCGTATTTTAGTAAACATTTTACGTCAACTTCTTCAATAAGAAATATAGTAGTTTATATGTTGTTACGAATATAAATGTAAATAGTAGCTAAAATATTAATAAAAAGCGAAAATAACAACAAGAAGTATTTCTACTTAAAAATTTACATAATTATTGATGTTGAAAAAACCTTCAGGTAGAGATTTTTTGAGCGAATATTCTGCGCTCAAGAATAATATTAACCTTATTCAATATCTATAAAGCGTTATTTCCGCATGCCTAGTCTGAAGGCAGCCTTGCCCGTGCCTCGAACAAAGCGAGAGAAGTAAATTACGTAGGTAAACATTTTACCAAGACATTGAGTGTAATATTAAATCGTGCGAGTAAGTCGATTACTGGCTATCTTGCGCGGCCCGCTGCGCCGGATTACAGTGAATAATTGCATATGGCTCGCTCTCTCTACAAAGTTCTACGTATATTTATCTCGTACCAACACTTTATCTTGGTCTAGGTATACAACAAAGATCGCGACGAATAGAGTTTATGATTATTTTTAATACGAGACTAGAGAGAACATCGATTCGCGAACTGCATGAGTTCATAGCCTTACAGACGCCAACATTACCTATACCTATATATTTTATGCACTTCTTAAAATGTTTATTTTCGGACCCCAAAACTTTGTACCTAATAATTATGTAAACGTATTAACTAGAAAGTATAACTGTTTTTATCGAAGTTATGCTATAAAAATCATATCTTAAATCGTTACTGCACTGTCAAAAGCGTTATTCACTGATAAAAAAATTCTTATCTATTGAGAGGTCCACCAATCGTGATTACGAATGTGCGACAGTGCATACAATAACTTTAATAACCTAAACATAAGCAAACTGTATGAACGTACTAATGGGTTGTATATACGCCTAACTAGGCACTGAATAAATAGGTGCTTCTATGAACTAGAACATGGATAATTGTGATTACATTTTATAATAATATAGCGAAACAAAAATTTTGAATCATTATAAACTGACATTATGCCGACACGACACCCGAATCCATTCCCGATACTTGCACGTCTCGCGCTACCACTGTTACAGAATCCAGTAATAAAAATCAATGACTGTAGAAAGTCGTTGAATACTGATTTGTCAATGGTTCGCAATAATGGAAATAGCAAATTGAGCGTACGTACTTTCCAACTTACTATTGTACTGGTAAATAAGGCAGATTTAGTTGTAGATTCCATTGGAGTAGAATTTTTTTTGAAAATTAAATGCTTATAATAAAATGCTGATCATGCACTGAACAAATTTGTAACATATTAGAATAAAAACACTGTCTTGCAAAATTTTTTATTTATAGTTACAATTTCTGTCAAACTTTTCCACCATTAAGGGATTAAAACAAACCATAAGTAACTTAAAACTGAGAAGTAACTAAGTAGTTAAACTGCAGTATTGTACACCAAAGTTAATCTAGCCAGTTTAGGTTTTCACACTAGATATGTCATACGTATCAAATTTTGAACTGGCTTTGTTTCACTCAGTCTAAAAATAAACAACATTCACTGTTCATATCACAATATTAAATAACTTAGTGACAAAAGTGTTCACCGATAAATTATTTGTGCAGAAAAGACATTTTTGAGACATTTTATTTTTAAAGAATGAAATACATATGTTATCTGCACAAACATCATAATACAGCGAGAATTGAAAAACTAAACATATCAATCAAGAAAGGAGAAACCAGTGATCTGAAATCTTCAGTGGGAAATAACAATAAAAGAAATAATTTTAAATTAATTACCTATACATTATAAAATTCATATCCCTAAGACAAATAACAGATTGTATTGGAAAACTAAGTGAGACCATCTTTGTAGACCACTACACATTTTAAATTTGGGCTCACATATCACTGTACACTGTAATTTCCTGCTATTCAGCTTCACTAAAATGATTATCGATATAAAGACTGTAACCGTTAAGTGTCTCCAGGCAGATTATTGCATCAACATAAGACATTAAAATACATTCAACTGACACCAAAATCTGTTGAGTCCTGTGTAAAGTGCCTTACTACTGTTTTAATGGAGAACTGTCATTCAAACCAAATCTTAGCTTTAACTATTCTCATACATTTACTATAAATATAATAAATTGAAATATAATAATATTTTTGTACAAACTAATTATACATATTTAATGAAAGGTATTAGAATATTTTAAATTTATATCATAACCAGGTTCCCTATTAAACATTTTTGTAATATTATAGTTCTTATTTAGGAAACTAGTGATGTCATTTTATTCACTATGGAACAACTGTCAATCAATATATCTTTCATTGTTCTCAACTGAGTACTCCCGTAGTCCAACTTACCAACACCGGTTAATGTCCTATTAGAGCTTAGCGAAAATTTTTTTTTTGTTTCGTTTTTTTTTCTTTCAACTGTGACATTGGCAAAATCATCAGTTCTCATATTGATGGAGCCATAAAAATAAAAAGTGAGGTGACAATATGATCACCTGGCGTCATATTATAAATATTTTACCATATATGTGGGTTATGCATAAGAAATACACAGATATTTTTTTATATTATAAAGACTCGATAAATATGTATGACAAACATGTTTTGAAAAATTATACAAGTGATTCTTATATAAGGCATATTCCAGTTTTATGGCACTAGAGATGTGTAGGTTAAGATTTGCTATTATCATACTATGTACTTGGGATGCATGTTATATGGTTTAGTGAAGCTAAAATAGCAATTACATGAGTTTATAACATACATATTAGATTTATTATAACTAACATCCAAGCTCATATATCAACGATTATTACTATTTCATTGAACTGACACCATCAATTTGGTATTCCTCAATGAGTTTCCATAAGTCATCATTACAAACATTGACTTTAATCTGAAATTACTGACATTTTATCGTAAAACTTCAATATGACATTCTCATTAAGGACGTGGTCAAATTAGAAAATGTTACATGCATAATAAACACAACAGTGTCCTTACACATAAATGTGTTAATTACAATGACTTACTTTCTTTTACCAAAACATTACAATAACTAACTCGGATTGGCAGAAAGAGGGAAGTATAGTAGTGAATACAGCAGATATGGACAATGTTACCATAGCAAATAGATTAAACCTTTTATCTACTCTGCTTACCAATCTTGCAATATATGAATATATGAAACATATCATAAATAATACAGTACAGCAATTAATTGCACTTTGAACATAAATAATTCACATTTCACAATTAATTAAATCCAGACTAAAGTCAATATTGTGTACATGTTGTTAATAGAATTGAGATATCAATTCTCAATATCCCCAGAATGGTGCCTATATTTTGCAGTCCAGACACATCAAAGCAATGTCTTTGAAAACACAACATTATCTACAGCAGTGGACAAATGATTCACCACTCTGCATCACCATTTGCTTTTTGAAAGACGTAATCCTTTCCGGACAGATTCATAATACCATCTTTTAGGTAGAACTTCCACTTATTCCGGCTGCGTGTAATCTTGTCATACTGGCATACAACAACATTATCAGTGTCAAACATGTCACCTGGCTCCTCATCCGAAACATCGTCACCAGAATTAAGAGGTTCCTCCTCCGCACCGCCACTGTCATCTCTCTCCTCTTCCTCTTCTTCAGCTCTTTCATCGGGAGATTCATCATCCTCATCATCATCTCCTGCTCCATCTTCTGAGCCATCCCCAACATTAGAACCTTCATCATCAGAAGAATCTAATGCTCCGTCTAAAGAGAACGGAGCTGCACCACTGCGGCCACCCCCGCCACCATCAAATTCACTTTGTTGTCCAGCTAGAGCAGAGTTTATGTGTTGCTGAAGAAGTGTTGCAGCTAATGGCTGGGGCAGTGATATTGTGGCATTGATGATGGGTCCTGTAAGAACCTGGTGCAGCTTATTGCCATTCAGAGCAGAAGCAGGAATTTGAATAGTAAATGATCGAGGCTGTGACCCGGGAACACCAGGCTGAGCTGGCAGTGTCAATTGCACAGGCACCTTGTTGTTTGGGTCCATTATTGGATGTGGATGTGACCCTTGCATATTTGCTGGTGCGCCATGTTCTACGCCCGAGTTTTGGCTGGAACTTTGTTGCGCAAGATGAGCATCATTTCTTTTGGGTAAAACATTATTACCGTTTGTTTTTTGGAAGTTCTGCAGCACTGGTGGTGGAGGCATCGTTGGTTCGGGTTGCGGCGGGTCCATGGCCCCACTCGACTGCAGTTTCGTTTTCCATAACGATTTGAGCTCTTGAAGTACCTGTTCGTCAACTCCATCGTCAAGGAAACAGTCCCTTACGCTTGATATCACATCGTCCACAACTGTATTGTACAGTTTGATTACTGACAATTGACTCATCGTCATCTTGCCGATTTTAGAATTTTATTTGAATACAATTGCACTAATTGAAGTTTCGTAGGAAAAGTTTAAGTAAAAGATAGTTCAAAGCAAAAGTGCGTATCGACTTTCGTGTTCACGTCTCATCTCAATGGCAAGCAGCACTAGAGATTACACAGCCATTACGAACCAAGTAAACATAATATTAGGTTTACTAAACAACGGACACCAGCTACTCGCTCACAATGCAACGTAAGCTATTATTTCACGTCAACTCCATTATCAGAACAAACTCCACGAAAATATTTTACATAAATTTTGACAAATGACCAATAAAACATAACCTACAAAAATCGGAATTTGCCAGATGAAAAATTGTCTGTGGTCTATAGAACGACGCATGCGCTGTTGCAGCTTAGAGCTACCGCGCCCGTATTGCTGTCGCACTAGCCAACGATTTCGAGTTTGCGCAGCACTGTCGCGTCCTTCAAATTGATTTTAGGTACAATGGCAGAAAATGTACATTGGACGAGAGAAGAATAGGCTGTATCATTTTTTTTCATGGATTTAAATAATAAATTTATGCACTTTAGAAATTTGAAAACAAACATTAAAAACAATTAGCAACACTTGATAGTCTTTTTGCCTATGGATTATTTACGTTCCAATTCACATCGTTTAATCGAGTAGAAGATAAACTACATCTAAAAATGTAGATGATAAAAGGAACGTACAAAAATTGTAGATTCAAATAGGGCAGTATTAATTAATATTTCGCTTTTTTAAATATAAAAAATAATATTAATAAAAATGTGAGCACGTACCTATTATAATACATTACTACGTAAATCTAACCATTTTTATATTCGTATGTAATCGGTGCATACAAGAGAAGTGTGGGTAACGGCTATTCGCGTGTACGATCGATACGTATCAGAATGCCATCCATTCTCTGAAGATATGATTATAGTTTACCTTATTTTAAATCGGCACCGCCCATATTCACGTTAAACACTAAGAGGTAGCTTATTGACTAGGTATTTATAATATAATAGGAATATTATAAGAACCTATTTTTTAAAATACCGTGGTCACCATGTGGTCACTCATCAGTCATCACATAGCTTCCAGTTTTGAATACAACCTACTTGTAGGTTATTTCCACGAATCAATATATTGCAGCTCTTCAATGTCTTTGTTCAGCAATGGAATTACCATAAGCTGTTGTATTTAGAAGTCAGATTTCTTCTAAAATGCCTTGTTCGCCGCTGAAATTTTTACCCTGACAAAGGAATGTTAATTAATGCAATATTATAATGGTATGTAATACCAAATAAATCAATTTGCAAAACCTAAAGGTAGTTGGGTAGGTAGTTGTTATGTCACTGCAATTTCCACCGATCATATCGATAAGTGAAATGGGTAAAGGAAGGAAATCTCGGGTGGCCAAGTTGCTCTCGACGGTCAACCTTTTAGAATGAATTGTTAGATGTTCGCGTGTCGTTGTATACCAAAAGAGCATTCAAGTAGCACCGGATCAGTCCATTGTTTGTACATACTAACTTATGTATCTAAGTATTTGTAAACCTACTCACAGAAAGGTAAAAGATTATTTTGTAATTGCTCATTCATCCAACACAGGTGTTTCTTCTGCATTTGACCTTTACATTCTCATGTGTTTTTTTTCTAAAAATTAGGTAGGTAGTGTTTATGCGCTACACAAAATACTTTCGATGGACGCCAGAGTTCTATATGTAGGTATAACCATGTAGCGTTTGATTGCTTTGGAAGAATTATTGTATCTTTAAAGTTATCTTTACAAATTATGATAATGTTATTTTATTTAAATTTTTATTGAATTGACATTCAATTATTTTTTTGTGAAATTATTCCACTAGTTTATTATAATTATTTATTTTATTTTTTTTAATAATAATAATAACGCACACACTCATAGCCCCGCACTAGGGAAACCTTGTATCGCGGGTATCATGGACACACTTAGGCAACCACAAATTACACCCAAACTCACGAGAAAAATAAATATTAAAGCCGGGAGAAATAATTTCTCCCGGCTACGGGAATCGAACCCAGGAACTCTGCGTGACAGTTCGGCATGATAACCATTCGGCAATGGCAGATAATAGATTGATGTAGCGTCGAATCTCGAAGAATTTATTTTCGATCTCTTTATTTAGGAAATAAATAATTTGTTAATATTTGAAAGTTCATTTTAATAAGTTTTTTAATTTTTGAAAACTTACGAACGAACTTATACTCACAACTCGAATGTCATTACTCGCCGGAAGCGACGCGGTGGTTGAGTAAACGGAAATGGAACGTTGAATGACAGGCGTGTAGCTTACCATCAGGCCTTAGAGGATGGAAAAGGCGCACAACTTGTTCGTCCCGTCACTTGATATTATAAAAAAATGTACCCGTACATACCGTTCGTAGCGGAAATATTTGTTCTCCAGCCGGCGACATGAAAATTACTACTTATATGAGCTGTCACTGTCTTTGCATGTCACGTACTTCTCATCAACACAGAACCCGTGTTCACGTCTACTTACGTTTAGCGGCACTTTATCAAACTTTTATATTTCGTTATGTACATAAACGTCATCATCACAGCACTCATAGATTATCATATAATTATTTCTAGTAATTCTATTTTTTCGCCTATCTAAAAGTTCACATTATTGGAGGTTACGAGGTTTACGAATTTACCCAAAGTGATGTAGTTACAAAATAGTTCTTATTGCTATTGTTGGAGCATTATAAAGTAGCTGCTTTAAGTAAGCTATTTACTACTGCTATACGTATTTAGTAACGTAAAGCCAACCGACGAGCGGAAAGCCAGGGATCTGTGCGACTTTACAAAGGGCAGCAAGCTAGACTTATAGCCATGGTTGAATGAGAAAAAGAATAAAATACATCTCCGTCTATAAATCTCTAGAATTACGATTTTTCTTTATTTTATTTATTCTATTGCCGCTCTCATATAATATTTTGCGTAGACACAATTTTGAAACCAATAACACAATTAACACGGATGTGCTGCCATAGCAAAGTAATTGAATATATTTAATGTAAGATGATGAAATGTGTGATGTGAATGATTTCTATTCACAGTCAGTACACTATCTACCTTTATACTATACGAGCCCTATACCCCACCTACGGTGGGGTCGGGCTCGGCCTGCGACTCTGGTCGCTTTCACATGATGGCGTGTGCTTATGCGCTTCGGCGGCACAATGATTAGTACTATGGGCGCTTGATGAGAAAGTTCCATTCGATCCCTTATTTGAGTCAATTTATGAAAAAAACATTTTTAAGTCGGTCATGGTTTTAAATTATCGTTGCTCTGGTACTCATAGTCCAGGAAATTCCCTAGTTTGAGACTAGAAATTTGAAGTGATTGTCTGGCATTTTTTCCCTAAATACTTCTCTTTTTGGCATAGTTTCCAATAAAAAAGAATCTAACAGAGAGACGGTGGAGATACAACAACGCTATAAGTTGTATAAGTAAATAATATATTATTTCCACTACATCGGGAAATATGCCTTACATTTTGAACAATTGTGAAATCTAGTTCCCGTATACTAACTACCTACGTAAGGTGGCATGGCGTGCGGACGCTTCGCCCTTCGCTACACCTCGGCACTTATGACTTTCTTTAATGGCGGCTACATTGATAAATAGCAAAAAGTAAATTTTGACTTCAAATTATTATTAAACACCCATAAAGAACACCTCATGGCGATTTTCAGTAGAATTAGAGCAAAATTTTATCATCCGCTAAAAAAGTTTGTAAAGCAGCCATACTGAAAAATGGCGAAAAATTAATTTTGACCGGAAGTTATTATTAAACACCCATAGAGACTCCTTCACATGCCGATTTTTAATCGAATTAGAGTAAATTTTCATCTGCCGCCAAAAAACACTTCTATGGCAACCATATTGAAAAATGGCGAAAAACCGATTTTTATCGCAAATTATTATCAAGCACTCCTAGAGACCCCTATATGCCAATTTTCAAAGGGATCAGCAATTTTTTTTCTGCCGCCAACGAACGCTTCTATGACGGCCATATTTGAAAATGGCGAAAAACAAATTTTGAGACAAATTATTACCGGCATTGGCATTTCTAGTGGCTTTTACATGCCAATTTTCAGTCGAATCAGAGCAAATCTCATTCGGCAGCTATTTTTCAGAAAAAACACTTATATGGCAGCCATATTAAAAAAAGGCGAAAATAAATTTTTGACCCCAAATTATGATTAAGGACTTCTAAAGACCCTAGCATGCTAATTTTCAGCCGGATCGAAGCAAAATTTTTCTTCGGCCGCCATTGTGAAATCGCCATCTTGATTTTTTTTAACCCAGGCAGTTCACCAGTGTTACCCTCTATGACATTTCTTCAAGCACCTCCTACCTATCTCTAATAGTTTCCGTGATAGGAGGCTTTGAAATTTGTATGGCAGTCATCTTGTTTATTTGAATTTCGAATATTTTTTACTTCCCGCGGAATTTGACCAGAGTGTATCTCTTAAAAATGCACAAATGATCCCCCCATATATTATAGTTTTTGCAAGCCGTTGATCACTCGTTTACATTTTCCACATTCAGGTCTTTTCATATTTGATTCTTTGCCTTGGAGTCTATCCGCGTACAACGGTATAAATGTCTTTTTTCTACCATATCGGGAAGCATGCGTTTTATTTTTCTAAGTGAGTCTAAACTTGTAGCTTTATATATATAATGGTACAATATAAGTACTATTTTATGTAATTAGTCTTGTCGGTGATAGGTACAATATGTGCTGCGTTCGTGTTGCTATAAACATTTGTAGCCGAATTATGAATCGTTTTATATAAAAAGAGAATTTTAATATAAATCAACTTTACAGTCATAATTTCGCATTTGGACATTGGAATATTATATAAGTCACTGATTGATTAATGCTTTTATGAATTTAGTCGATTTATTCAAATTCGTAAATGAATTTTATATTAGCTTAAATTTTGTTTCCTTTTCGTTACAATAAGGCACGCACTTATTTTTTGTGGTGATTTTCTTACTATAGCGGGCCAAGGAGATCCATTGTAACAAATGAGGTATGGTTCTATGTATATTTTTCTTTGTTTTTCCACCTTTATATCAATAATAATAGCAAACGATAGACGTATTTTTTACAAAAAAAACTTAATAGCATGATATTAAAAACATCATGATTAA